GTCAGTGATGGGTTGTGATGGGTCAGTGATGGGGAGTGCTGGGTCAGTGATGGGTTGTGATGGGTCAGTGATGGGGAGTGCTGGGTCAGTAATGGGGACTGGTGGGTCAGTGATGGGGAGTGCTGGGTCAGTAATGGGGAGTGCTGGGTCAGTGATGGGTTGTGATGGGTCAGTGATGGGGAGTGCTGGGTCAGTGATGGGTTGTGATGGGTCAGTGATGGGGAGTGCTGGGTCAGTAATGGGGACTGGTGGGTCAGTGATGGGGAGTGATGGGTCAGTGATGAGGAGTGCTAGGTCAGCAATGGGGAGTGGTGGGTCAGTGATGGGGATTGGTGGGTCAGCGATGGGGAGTGGTGGGTCAGTGATGGGGAGTGCTGGGTCAGTAATTCGGAGTGGTGGGTCAGTGATGGGGAGTGGTGGGTTAGTGATGGGGAGTGGTGCGTCGGTGATGGAAAGTGGTGGGTCAGTGATGGGGATTGGTGGGTCAGCGATGGGGAGTGGTGGGTCAGTGATGGGGAGTGCTGGGTCAGTAATTGGGAGTGGTGAGTCAGTTATGGGGAGTCGTGGGTCAGTGATGGAGAGTGGTGGGCCAGTGATGGGGAGTGGTGAGTCAGTCATGTGGAGTGGTGGGTCAGTCATGGGGAGTGGTGGGCCAGTGATGGGAAGTGCTGAGTCAATAATGGGGAGTGGTGGGTCAGTGATAGGGGGTGGTGGGTCAGTGGTGGGGAGTGCTGGGTCAGTGATGGGGGGTGGTGGGTAAGTGGTGGGGAGTGGTGGGTCAGTCATGGGGAGTGGTGGGCCAGTGATGGGGAGTGGTGGATCAGTGATGAGGAGTGGTTGGTCAGTGATAGGGAGTGGTGAGTCAGTGATGGGGATTGGTGGGTCAGTGATGGAGAGTGGTGGGTCAGTGATGGGGAGGGGTGGGTCAGTGATGTGAAGTTGTGGGTCAGTGATTGGGAATTGTGGGTCAGTGATGGACTGAGAATACTTCCAACCAAATGTCAGTGATAGGGAGTGGTGGGTCAGTGATGGGGGGTGGGGGGTCAGTGATGGGAAGTGGTTGGTCAGTGATTGGAAATTGTGGGTCAGTGATGGACTGAGAATACTTCGAACCAAATGTCAGTGATGGGGAGTAATGGGGACTGGCGGGTCAGTGGAGGGTCAGGGATGGGGAGTGGTGGTTCAGTAATTGGGAGTGGTGGTTCAGTGATAGGAAGTGGTGGGTCAGTGATGGGGAATGGTTAGTCAGTGATGGGGAGTGGTGGGTCAGTGATGGGGAGTGTTGGGTCAGTAATGGAGAGTGGTGGGTCAGTGATGGGGAGTGTTGGGTCAGTGATGGGGAGTGGTGGGTCAGTGATGGGGAGTGGTGGGTAAGTGATGAGGAGATGTGAGTCAGTCATGGGGAATGATGGGTCAGTAATGGGGAGTGGTGGGTCAGTGATGGGGAGTGATGGGTCAGTCATTGGGAGTGGTGAGTTTAGTGATGGGGAGTGGTGGGTCAGTCATGGGGAGTGGTGGGTCAGTCATGGGGGGGTGGTGGGTCAGTCATTGGGGGGGGGGGTGGTTCAGTGATAGGAAGTGGTGGGTCAGTGATGGGGAATGGTGGGTCAGTAATGGGGAGTGGTGGGTCAGTGATGGGGGGGGGGGGGGGGGTCAGTGATGGGGAGTGGTGGGTAAGTGATGAGGAGATGTGAGTCAGTCATGGGGAATGATGGGTCAGTAATGGGGAGTGGTGGGTCAGTGATGGGGAGTGGTTGGTCAGTGATGGGGAGTGGTGAGTCAGTCATGAGGAGTCGTGGGTCAGTGATTGAGAGTGGTGAGTCAGTCACGTGGAGTGGTGGGTCAGTCATGGGGAATGGTGGGCCAGTGATTGGGAGTGGTGGGTCAGTGATGAGGAGTGGTGGGTCAGTGATGGGGAGTGGTGGGTCAGTGATGGGGAGTGGTGGGTCAGTGATGGGGAGTGGTGGGTCAGTGATGGGGAGTGGTGGGTCAGTGATGAGGAGTGGTGGGTCAGTGATGGGGAGTGGTGGGTCAGTGATGGGGAGTGGTGGGTCAGTGATGGGGAGTGGTGGGTCAGTAATGGGGAGTGGTGGGTCAGTGATGTGGAGTGGTGGGTCAGTAATGGGGAGAGGTGGGTCAGTCATGGGGAGTGGTGGGTCAGTGATTGAGGGTGGTGGGTCAGTGATGGGGGTCGGTGGGTCAGTGATGGGGGGTGGTGGTTCAGTGATAGGAAGTGGTGGGTCAGTGATGGGGAGTGGTGGGTCAGTAATGGGGAGTGGTGAGTCAGTCATGGGGAGTGCTGGGTCACTCATGGGGAGTGGTGGGTCAGTGATGGGGAGTGGTGGGTCAGTGATGGGAAGTGATGGGTCAGTGATGGGAAGAGGTGGGTCAGTGATTGGGAGTGGTGGGTTAGTGAAGGACTGAGAATACTTCCAACCAAATGTCAGTGATGGGGAGCGGTGGATCAGTGGAGGGTCAGGGATGGGGAGCGGTGGTTCAGTGATAGGAAGTGGTGGGTCAGTGATGGGGAGCGGTGGGTCAGTAATGGGGAGCGGTGGTTCAGTGATAGGAAGTGGTGGGTCAGTGATGGGGAGTGGTTGGTCAGTGATGGGGAGTGGTGGGTCAGTGATGGAGAGTGGTGGGTCAGTGATGGGGAGTGGTGGGTCAGTGACGGGGAGTGGTGGGTCAGTGATGGGGAGTGGTGGGTCAGTCATGGGGAGTGGTGGGTCAGTGATCGGGAGTGGTGGGTCAGTAATGGGGAGTGGTGGGTCAGTCATGGGGAGTGGTGGGTCAGTGATGTGGAGTGGTGGGTCAGTAATGGGGAGAGGTGGGTCAGTCATGGGGAGTGGTGGGTCAGTGATGGGGAGTGGTGGGTCAGTGATTGAGGGTGGTGGGTCAGTGATGGGGGTCGGTGGGTCAGTGATGGGGGGTGGTGGTTCAGTGATAGGAAGTGGTGGGTCAGTGATGGGGAGTGGTGGGTCAGTAATGGGGAGTGATGAGTCACTCATGGGGAGTGCTGGGTCACTCATGGGGAGTGGTGGGTCAGTCATGGGGAGTGGTGGGTCAGTGATGGGGAGTGGTGGGTCAGTCATGGGGAGTGGTGGGTCAGTCATGGGGAGTGGTTATCAGAGGTTCATTCACACCACAGTGGATCATTCAGACCACAGAGGATTATTCAGACCACAGAGGATCATTCAGACCACAGAGGATCATTCAGACCACAGAGGATCATTCACACCACAGAGGATCATTCACACCACTGTGGATCATTCAGACCACAGAGGATCATTCACACCACAGATGATCATTCAGATCACAGAGGATCATTCAGACCACAGTGGATCATTCACACCACAGTGGATCATTCAGACCACAGAGGATCATTCAGACCACAGAGGATCATTCAAACCACAGAGGATCATTCACACCACAGTGGATCATTCAGACCACAGAGGATCATTCTTACTACAGAGGATCATTCATACCACAGAGGATCATTCAGACCACAGAGGATCATTCACACCACAGTGGATCATTCACACCACAGTGGATCATTCAGACCACAGAGGATCATTCAGACCACAGAGGATCATTCAGACCACAGAGGATCATTCAGACCACAGTGGATCATTCAGACCACAGAGGATCATTCTTACTATAGAGGATCATTCAGACCACAGAGGATCATTCAGACCACAGAGGATCATTCAGACCACAGTGGATCATTCAGACCACAGTGGATCATTCATACCACAGAGGATCATTCATAGCACAGAGGATCATTCATAGCACAGAGGATCATTCAAACCACAGTGGATCATTCAGACCACAGTGGATCATTCTCACTACAGAGGATCATTCACACTACAGATGATCATTCACACCACAAAGGATCATTCACACCTGAGAGGATCATTCACACTACAGAGAATCACTCACACTACAGATGATCATTCACACCACAAAGGATCATTCACACCTGAGAGGATCATTCACACTACAGAGAATCACTCACACTACAGATGATCATTCACACTTCAGAGGATCGTTCATACCATAGAGGATTATTCACACTACAGAGGATCATTCACACCACAGATATTCATTCATACCACAGAGGATCATTAACACTACTGAGGATCATTCACACTACAGAGGATCATTCACACTACAGAGGATTATTCACACTACAGAGGATCATTCACACTACAGAGGATCATTCACACGACAGAGGATCATTCGCACTACAGAGGATCATTCACACTACAGATGATCATTCACACCACAAAGGATCATTCACACCTGAGAGGATCATTCACACTACAGAGAATCACTCACACTACAGATGATCATTCACACTTCAGAGGATCGTTCATACCATAGAGGATTATTCACACTACAGAGGATCATTCACACCACAGATATTCATTCATACCACAGAGGATCATTAACACTACTGAGGATCATTCACACTACAGAGGATCATTCACACTACAGAGGATTATTCACACTACAGAGGATCATTCACACTACAGAGGATCATTCACACGACAGAGGATCATTCGCACTACAGAGGATCGTTCATACCACAGAGGATTATTCACACTACAGAGGATCATTCAATCACTTGTAACAAAATACATAATCACGAGGTACTTTTCCTTCAATGTCAAATTACAGAACTATCCATCTACCCAAAGAGAATACTTGATACTATCAATAGATGCCAACATGATAGAAACACACGTTGTGACAAGGAAATCCTTCAAAACAAATATGTTGCCAGCGAAATCAATGACTATGTTGACAGACAGCTGGCCTACGTTATTAAATCTGTCAATACACTTCACTGAGAATCAGTTAGTTTTACCACTCAATAACATGCTTGTTTGTTACAATATCCAAATATGAATCAAGAATATTCATTTTATTATTTCTATTTTTTACTTAAAGAATAGAGACAGGTTGAATGGTTTAAACCACTTAAATAACTTGCATCAGAGCCTTTCAGAATAATCATTTTATTCAATCTGAGTTGTTTCATTTTATGGTACGTAATTCTTTAGCCAGAGTCCCAGATATCAGAAATTGAATACACTTACAGCTCATCTTAACAACTCGTTTAGAATATCTTCACAAACATTTTCTTGTCGAGGTATGTGGCGAAATAAAGTCTTTACAAAAACTTTCCTGTTGGATTATTTCTTTAGGTTCACACTAAACTTTTCAAACAATCATCCAAGCCTACAATAAGCATCACATCTGTCTTCATTGATGACCATATTCATCACTGTCCAATGGTCAACTGTGACATAAGCCATGTTTACCTGGCGATGCCTCCCCTTGTCGGACAAGAAATGTTCATTTGGCATAGCCTGGCAACAGCACCCATTCCTTGGAGGCATTTCTGAATACCATCTGAAAATAACAAAACCATCACATGACTAGAGGACCTCGACCAGTCTCTATAATGAACTTATCTTACAGAAAAATTGTTGGTAAATCATCTTAATTAAGAAATAATGAAAAGGAGCCCAGAGACTCTTCATTTCCTGATATTGCAGTAATCTAGACTTGCCCACTATTATGGACAGACATGAATAGAGGACCATGAAAGTCACACAGGTTTGAAACAGTGACTGTTCCAACTTGGAAATCTCTGCCTGCTGCCAAACATTTGTAGTGTAGATGGTCCCAGGCCATGACCATCTTAACCTGAACAATACTACAATGGGGAACACAGGACCACACTGAAATTGCATAGTCAGCAAAACGCAAATTAATCTTGAGAAAAACTACATTGGATTAACAAGATTACCATAGCTGAAACTCAGTTCAAAAGCAGACTATGCCAAGTCTAACCTTTACCTGCCTTAGACATGTGCCAGTCATTTTTTACTCAACAAAGAGCATGCCAAAACTGGTAGTGTTATTGCAATTCATCAGGAACAGGCGCATCGTCAGCAAACTTTGCACGATACGATACCCGATACATTTAATTTGGCAGCAATTCCCATTTAACCCCGTATCCATTGTCCATGATGATCTCTCATCCATATGAATAAGCAAGTATAAACTATTTTTTAAATTCCTAAACTTTTTGGCCGTCCTACGGATACGAAACCAGCCCAATAACAAAACTGACCAGCTTTTCCTTGCTGACTGTCATAATACAATACATAAACTGTTTGTTTCTTATCTTATTCTCATCCAGAATAGTTGGCTTGACTCATTGTCATGTTTGATGGGAATTAGTCAGTTGTCCTTCTATGAAACTCTATTCTCAGTCTAATGACTGTGATTTCCTCATAAAATGTCATAGATACAGTATTGAGATACATATCACATGGTGGCTTCTGTATTAAGATATGTATCACATCGTGTAACACCTGTACTGCGACATCCATACAAACTGGTCATATCTTGGATTTAAACCCCCAATATTCTTCTAATTAAGGTTGGATATGGTGTTGCGTGGTGCCGCAATCAATATTTACTGTGGTCAACAGCATGAGAGAAATGAGCAAAGTTTGAACCTGAGAGTCTTGTTAATGTGAGTGAGTGAGTGAGTATGCTTTTACCCCGCTTTTAGCAATATTCCAGCAATATCACGGAGGGGGACACCAGAAATGGGCTTCACACATTGAACCCATGTCGGGAATCGAACCTTGGTCTTCGGCGTGACGGGCGAACGCTTTAACCACTAGGCTATCCGGTGTAGACTAGGTTTTCAGCAACCCATGCTTGCTGTAAAAGGCGACTATGCTTGTCGTAAGAGGCGACTAACCAATGTCCTGGATGGTACAGAGTCTGACAACAGGCAGGAACAGATGTCCTTGATGGTACAGAATCTGACAACAGGCAGTAACCAATGTCCTTGATGGTACAGAGTCTGACAACAGGCAGTAACCAATGTCCTTGATGGTACAGAGTCTTACAACAGGTAGGAACACATGTCCTTGATGGTACAGAGTCTGACAACAGGCAGTAACCAATGTCCTTGATGGTACAGAGTCTGACAACAGGTAGGAACACATGTCCTTGATGGTACAGAGTCTGACAACAGGCAGGAACAGATGTCCTTGATGGTACAGAGTCTGACAACAGGCAGTAACCAATGTCCTTGATGGTACAGAGTCTGACAACAGGCAGGAATAGATGTCCTTGATGGTACAGAGTCTGACAACAGGTAGGAACAGATGTCCTTGATGGTACAGAGTCTGACAACAGGCAGTAACCAATGTCCTTGATGGTACAGAGTCTGACAACAGGCAGTAACCAATGTCCTTGATGGTACAGAGTGTGACAACAGACAGGAACACATATCCTTGATGGTACAGAGTCTGACAACAGGTAGGAAAACATGTCCTTGATGGTACAGAGTCTGACAACAGGCAGGAACAGATGTCCATGATGGTACAGAGTCTGACAACAGGCAGTAGCAAATGTCCTTGATGGTACAGAGTCTGACAACAGGCAGGAACAGATGTCTATGATGGTACAGAGTCTGACAACAGGGAGGAACACATATCCTTGATGGTACAGAGTCTGACAACAGACAGGAACAAATGTCCTTGATGGTACAGAGTCTGACAACAGACAGGAACACATATCCTTGATGGTACAGAGTCTGACAACAGGCAGGAACACATATCCTTGATGGTACAGAGTCTGACAACAGGCAGGAACACATATCCTTGATGGTACAGAGTCTGACAACAGACAGGAACAAATGTCCTTGATGGTACAGAGTCTGACAACAGACAGGAACAAATGTCCTTGATGGTACAGAGTCTGACAACAGACAGGAACACATATCCTTGATGGTACAGAGTCTGACAACAGACAGGAACACATATCCTTGATGGTACAGAGTCTGACAACAGACAGGAACACATATCCTTGATGGTACAGAGTCTGACAACAGGCAGGAACACATATCCTTGATGGTACAGAGTCTGACAACAGACAGGAACAAATGTCCTTGATGGTACAGAGTCTGACAACAGACAGGAACAAATGTCCTTGATGGTACAGAGTCTGACAATAGACAGGAACACATGTCCATGATGGTACAGGTTACACACAACCAAATGTTTTCCCATAGACTTCTGTAGTAACGTTAAACTTTTGTTAAAAATAACTAAGCATTCAACAGCTTTAACCTGTACGTGTGTGCACAGCTTGGCCTTAGAGTAGCAATAAAAACATAAAAAATGACCAGCTTAGCCAACTCCTTTTCCGAGTACAGGAAGCTAAACACACCACCCCCAGTTTCGCACCAAATGTCACCTACCTACTCATCATGTTGGAAAAGACAGTACTAAATATAGAAAAACATGGTCAGTTTTAATAACTGGATGGATGTAGATTTGAAAGACATAAAAATCTTACAGAAAATCCTCCAATCACAGCCTGCAGATATCTCTCGATCTGCACTGAAGGCTCCCTACGAAAACCGCACTGTCCCAACTGGTTCTGATTTGGTGTAGTAGAACCTGTAGACAAATCAGAATACATTTGCACTTGTCAAATCTGTGATTTATGTATTGTATATATATGTAGCTTCTCAGAAAAAAAATGGAAATTGGATTAATTTTACCACTTGTTCCTATCCAGCATGTCTATATGGCACCAGAATACATAGTTTTGATGCACAGAAAGAGTTGTGAGAGTTTAAGGATGTACACTTCATCGATGTTTTACAAAAGGTATTTCTGTATTAATAAAGAAGTTTCTACCTCCATGCACTGACCATGGGAGTTAATTCATATTTCATAAAAGAAAGGGGTCAAGGGTCAATTCTATAAATGATTCAGGCTGCATAGATCATATCACCCTAAAATATTTTTTCGACTAAAAAAATTGAACAAATCTTTAAACCTCAAAACCAGTAAGAATACATATTTAAAATTGAGTAGTGGTCTGTTGTTTGCCTTCCTTTGCTGACATCATCAGAACATAGCAGAGTCTGCTACATTCATTGAATATGGTTTTGACACTCATGACATGATGCGATTGATATTGTTTGAGATTGCTCGAACTTACACCATCCATTGTTTATATAATTAAACACTCAAATGGCTGTCAGCATTTGGTAAATCATCTATGGAGGGGCTATCACAAATGTTTGTGCTTTCATTTACTCCAAAAATCAAAAGTACAATCACCTACGATAAAGGCTGGTGACATAAGTACACATGGAAAGGAATCAGAAAAAAAATCTCAAAATTGGACAGAGAGCATGGAATTCAGGCCAACAATAAGCAAGGGACACATTAAGCAGCTTTAAAGACATCATATATGTAAGGCTGGATAATGAACTTTACCAGAAAATAGGAAGTAAAGGGGTGCATTGTTGCCAGCAATCTCAAAGGCTGACCAGGGAACCACACCGCCTATTAAAGCCAAGAAATGGAAATGGACGCTCAAGTAGAAGAAAGCTCTTTGAAACCACAACATGGAAGGAAATTACACTTAACTCTATTGATTTATTTAGTTAAGACTTTAAAATACTCACAGGACATCAAACATACTTACTGTTTAATGTTTCAAGGTGGCTAAACTTGCTAATTTCAGTTATTTGCCAGTTTCAATGAAACAAAGTTAAAAGTCCATATAATTTTGAAAATGTACAGCTTATCCTGACATAAATGTAATTCATTTTATTCACAATTACCAGTGTCATGCAATACCAGCTTAAAATAGTGTTTCTCTCCAATAATTTATGGGTTTATAGGGGAATGAAAGATAAAATGCATTTTACTAAAGAGGGGAGATAATTTAGTATTGTCGAACACTATCACATTCTTTACAGATGATTTCAGAACCATAATGTTACATTCCAAAAGAGCCAGTGGATATTATTTTCATCTGAGCAGGTTCTGGGACTGGTGTATAGACCTTACTCTATGCACAGTGAGGCATTAAGGGAGCACTGTCAGAAATGTCTAGTGCATGAGGGTGATCTTATTACAGACTTGATAGTGAGCAACAGAGGGGACTCAAGTGGACTGGGCTTCTTTAATGTACTTAATGTACCTACATGTCCAAGTTCCACAATGTATACAAGGTAATAGAGCGCAGCGAGGCAAAACAAGGGTTGTCGATCACACACTGCCAACACCGGACTTCAGATCAGCTTCTCTAAATGCCAAATTGGATGTGAAAACTTCTACTTCTTCTGCATGAGTGCACATATACCTCCCCAGTCAACATCAGGCATGCTAACAGCTGAAAAAAAGTGTTCAGACAATATCAAATGGCAAACCAGTTTGGATATAACAGCCAGGAGTCAGTTCTTGAGGGAACAAAATAAATATTTGAAAGTCATATGAGTGAAAAATAAGTCTGTTTTAGGAAACTTAATAGAAAAATCTTTCATTCACACAAAAGCACCTAACAGAAAGATATATTGGTATGCTACATTGTTTACTATAAATAAGGGGATGTGTGACATATTCTGCTGTCAGCAGTGTACATGCCTCATACTCAAGAAGACCGCCTCCGTGGTCTTGTGGTAGAGCGTCCGCCGGGAGAGCGGAAGGTCCAGGGTTCGATCCCGGGCCGCGTCATACAAAAAGACGTTAAAAGATTGTACTTGTTGTTACCCTGTCTGGCGCTCGGCATTAAAGGGCTAAAACAAGGACTGGTCGGCTCGGAGTCAGTACACTGTGTCTGAGTGGGGTATTCATGTTAAACTGCGGCATGGTATCTCAGTGAGCTAGCACTATAAATCGGCATCAGTCCGGACTAGTACAAGCAGCCACACACACACACACATACACGTGCATGCACATCGCTATATAAGTGCAATAGTCTTGGACGCGACGTTAAACCCAGTTTCACCTCACCTCATACTCAAGATAACGGCATCGCGTAACTTGACTGGCAAACGATTGACACAAGGCAGAAATTGTTGTGGCAGTGGTGAATTTATCCTAATTTGTTGTCAAATTCATCAGTTTCAACAAATTCAGAAGGCAGGAGGAGGGCTTGATGGACAGAGGTACCCTGGGGGGTTCGTGCTGAGTTCGACCACAATACGAAGCAACATTCATTTCCAGGCCATCCAAATGCTCCATTCAACCCAAAATGTCCCCAACTTCACTGTCATTATTTTTAAATTTGCCTCCATGGTGTATCCATGGTGAAATATAAACAGGAAAGCATGTAAAGTAGGAATTACTGAAATGTGCACTCACCCTACAGGTTACACACAACCAAATGTTTTCCATTGACTTCTATAGTAAAGTTATATTTCTTTTAAAAATAACTAAGAATTCAACAGCTATAACCTGTACGTGTGTGCACAGTTTGGCCTTAGAGTAGCAATAAAAACATAAAAAATGACCAGCTTAGCCAGCTCCTTTGCTGAGTAGAGGAAGCTAAACACACCACCCCCAGTTTCGCACCAAATGTCACCTACTTGAAAATAGCTATGCTCACATAAAGCACAAGTCAACTTGTTGAAAAGGTCAGCACCAAATTAAATATTGAAAAATATGGTCAGTTTTAATTACTGGATGGATGTACATTTAAAAGACATAAAAATCTTACACAATACCATCCAATCACAGCCTGCAGATGACTCTCGATCTGCACTGAAGGCTGAAAAACCACACTGTCCCAACCGGTTCTGATTTAGTTTAGTAGAACCTGTAATCACGACCAAGTCATTCATTTATAGTTGTGAGGAAATATCATATTTTGGTGTAGCAGACGCCCCTGAGCTCCATACAGTGGTGAACCATGGACTTGTGTGTGCAGAGCCTTCCATTATTCTAAAACAATGCTATAGCATTATTCAAACTAATTCTTTTTGTGTACTGAGGTGAAAACATATTTAATGAAAATATTAATTACATTATTTCGGTACTAAAATCTGATTTTGTATTTTTTTAAGGTGAGTGAATAAGCCAACTGTAACAGACAGATACAAGAGTTACCTCCCTTTCATTCAAGTAACACAAGCTCCTTCCCAGCGCGTGACACCTTCGTTACACTCTCGGTAACAGAGCTCCGGGAACGTACTATCGCTGTGAGGAGCTTGCAAGTAACAGTTAATTCTCAACACCTATCAAAGTCATTTATCCCGTAATGAGTGAATATTTTAATCTCTTTTTACATCAATGTTTCTCTTGAAGAAGTTTTTTTGCTCACAAAGTTCACACTCAAAATGATCATGAAGCCACTGTGCAACCTTATCATTTTCTGACAAACAATTGACAATTGTTGATATATATATAACAGAATAGGTTGATGTTACAGATTCACAATCTCTCAGTAATAAACCATTACTAAAATGAAAATTGGCACAATCAAATAAATTGACAATTTTTGATATATATATAACGGACTGTGCACTTATATACATTAAATAGAGCATGGGGTGTGGGTGGGGTGTGGTGGGAAGATTATTACAATCACCCTATCTGCCCCACCCCACCCCCCATGAATCATTGCTGTACAATATTTCATACAAGCACACTGTACTTTACATTAATTAAAACATAAATTGAGTTATTTGTTGTAACACATCACATCATAATTGATCCTCCTAACTACCTTGAAACTATGTTCTTTAGTGATAATAAACATGTTTTAGTCACAAACATGTGATTGACAATGTGAACAAATTGAAATGGTTCAGCCGGACAAAGTTTGTTGTTAAACTTTAAACACATATCATAGTTTGTCATCGCGAAATTTACAGTGCACAAAATACCCCAATGTCATAAATATATTCTCCTTTACAACATACTTACATATACTGCTTCAAATTGCGAGGATTGTAGCTGGATTGTTAAAAAAATCCTGTAGTAAATTCGATCGTGTTGGCCCGAAGGGAAGTAACTGCGTAGTTATGTAAAAACTGCATACCGTTAATAGAAATAGGGTGGGGTCCGATTTAATTTTTTTTTATATATATTGTCCCTTATAAATTAAATCTAAAAAACACTGGAAATTATAAAAAATGATTACAGAAGAGAATACACCTATTTAAAACCGCGTATTCGGCTGAATTGATAGTTTCAAGAATAACTGTTGACTTAATCAATGAAACTCAACTTCGAAGAAAATTCTAACAAGCGTAAAGTCGACGAAGTCATCTATATCCCCCGCCTATTTTAACATGTTAAACCAGGTAACTGACCCAACATTTCTCTTAGCCCATGTCAAAATAGCTGCAATGGAAATTCTAAAATATACATTTCTAACACTCCCTAATATCAAATGTCACCAGTTCAGTATGTGCTTTATATATAGACATGCAATGTTTGGCAAGGAAATATTTAACAGTTTATTTGTTATACTCCATAAGTGAACCCACCCTATAATAGAACCTAAGTGAAACTTGTTGTCATGGAAACATAAACAATAAAACTTTCTAAAAGTGCTAAATATCAAAAGGCACCAGTTCAGTATGTGTCTGGTAAACATGCAAGGTTTTGTAAGAAATTATTTAACGGTTTTTGAGTTATGCTCCGGAAACGATTTCGGGACGCACACACACACACACACGCACGCACGCACACACGCACGCACACATGTACACACACACACACGCAAGCACACACACGCAGACACGCACGCACACACACACACGCACATATGTACACACACACACACGCGTGCGCGCGCACACACACACACACACGGACGGAACCCATTTGTATATCCCCCGCCAACTTCGTTGGGGCGGGGGATAAAAATACCAGCTTATGAAATACGCACGCAACCTTTACCCTAGTTTGTGATGTACGCTGATTTTTCCGCTTTCTGCGTTAATCAAGGAGTTAAGAGATCGGATTCGGAACCGACCCTCCGAGGTGTGGTAAACTAGCTTTGAGAATAAGTGCAGGAAGAGTTACCTCCTCTTGCCATGAGAATTGCTGAGAGACCATTATATGGTCTCTGGCGTGAGCAAGAAAAAAGAATGTCGAGTGAAAGATATGAATGGACTAACCTGCAGATGCATGTGCCTAACAGTCCTGACCTGCGATGGAGATGCGACAAGACCGAGCGAGCACGCGTGTGTGTGGTGATGCCTGCCACAAGATTCAATGACCATGTGATGGAGGCAAACACCTTTTCCATTCGTGAACTCGCTTGTGATTGGTGCTTGCTGCTTGCTTCCGGGTTACGGAAATGGGCGAGCGGTGCCGTTTCGGTGTGTTTCGGTGGTGGGCTAGCCTTGCTCCAAGGCTGTAATGAATTATGTCTGCTGATAAGTTCAAGGATTTTATAAAAACAATTCTATCGTAACGATCGGCGAGTCTACAAGGAGTTGTAGTCAAAACGGCCTCGAAAGGTAAAGTCCAAACGGTCACAACTAAAAAGTAATAACGGTCACACAGAAAATATAGAAGACAAACTCAAGTTTGCATTAATTTGTTTTACAGAAAAAGAGAACACATGTGAAGATAGATTTAAAGAAATAAAGAGTCCCAAAAGAGTAGAAGAAGTGTTATAATATTTGTGACTTGCCAAAAAAACAAATACACAACACACATGCAGAAAATATAAATGACAATGAGAAACAAAATTGTAACAAAATAAATAAAAAATGAAAAAACAAGAAAGAAAGAATAGACTGGAATGAAAGAAAGCTGAATTTAAGATATTTGTAAGTAATTTGTGTTTGAAAAGGAAGCTTTGATTATGGCTGAAAGTGGAGAGGGTCAACAGCGGACGATAGTTTTGTTTTTTTATAGATTTTTTTCAAAGAATACGTGACTTGGAAAGCTTCTTGTAAAGCAACAAAGAACGCGCTGCGTGTGAAGACGGACGCAAGTTTTTAACTACTTGGGGATACAGACGAATACGATTGGTCGCTTTGTGGTGTTTAGGAAGCTGTCGCTAGGCGGAGTTTGTGTTTGATGGGGGGGGGGGGGGGGGGGGGGGGAGTGCCCTTTGAAAATACATACCAGAGACAGACTTGGTGCCTCTAGGGTTTGGTGTTGACGTCTTGAGTGATGGATTGCAATGATGTGCCACGTGGAAGTACGTGGGCCATGGTTTTGTGCCATGTCGTCTTTGTATAGCCATGTGGGTCCGGGAAAGCGGAGTCGACAAATGGAATGGGTGGCGTTATGACTACTTCCTGGTCAATATTACTTGGGACATCGGCCAAGAGAAAACCTAAAAAAAGTTTTACAGTTGAGAGTGAATGAGAGTTCATCTTTGAATGTCTAGGGTTTCTGCTTAGTTTCCAACAATGCTGTATTCCTTTGCCTCAGGATTTGGAAAGCTGGCATTACCACATAGGTACCATTGGACAGCGGACCCTATTAATTTTCCTAGTTTTACCTCAACGTGTGACCCGTGAAGATTCAGGGGTAGAATAGAACTTCAGCAACCCATGCTTGTCGTAAAAGGCGACTAATGGGATCGGGTGGTCAGGCTCGCTGACTTGGTTGATGCACGTCATCGATCCCAATTGCGTGGATCGATGCTCATGATATTAATCACTGGATTGTCTAGTCCAGACTCGATTATTTACAGACCGCCGTCATATAGCTGGAATATTGCTGAGTGCGGCGTAAAACAACAAACCAAGCAACCAACCTCAACATGTTGGAAGGTTTGGACCAGACAATCCAGTGATTGATATCATGAGCCTCGATCCACGCAGTTTGGATCGATGGCATGCATCAACCAAGTCAGCGAGCCTGACAACCCGATCCCGTTGGTCGCCTCTCACGACAAGCATTGTCGCCTTTTAGGGCAAGCATGGGTTGACCTATTCTCTACCGGATTTTCACAGGTCTGTATCCTAAATATCCTAAGTAAAACACAGTGATATGTTCGCGAAAGGAATAGGACATAGTAAATTTAATTGTTGCTAGGCTATGGGCGCAAATATACAAACTGTGGCTTGTCCATTCGTGACCACTGGTGTTGGGAAAGGACTTGCTGCAGAGTTTATTCTGTGGAATGATACAGTGAGTTGCGGATGTCTTCAAATCTCCTTGTGATTTTGCGACAGATAAAAGGGACACGATTCAGCCAGTGCATGCATGATCTACATGTTGTTGTCGGCGCTCACCTTGTTTGAGCATTTGTTCAATAAAAAAGCACCTGCACGATACTATTTGTGTAGGTATATGTCTATAGAAAGTAGTAAAACGTAGCCAAATGGACTTTGACGTCACAGACGTCTTGAAACTTATGACGTCAGAACTGGCGATGATGACGTCATACCACCTGGACTTGAACTCTGTGGCCTTGGTTCTGGGACAGCTGACAGTGAAGCATTGTGTGGTCAAATTGTAGTTGGATTCGGCCAGAAAACTGATGAAATTCAGAGGAGGTTTTCTGCCCAATGCAACAACGTGTGTGACTAGATATGGAATTGAAGAAATGTCATAATTGAACTCCTAATTGACATGTAATATACCGCCACGGAATGCCTTTTTAAAAGAGTCACAGAAAGAAAAAAAGTTGTATTATTTACGTTGATCATTTAAACTATCTACAAAGTCACGTGACCGCAGCCATACTGCTACGAAGCACAGGAACTCGACATTCGTGACCAACTCCTGTTATTCCGAGACAAGCCGAATAGCAGGTTACTGAAAGGGGCGAGTGGTGACAAATGAGGAACTCGATATTGGTCAGTAAATATAGATATATACCCCCCACTCAGGCCTGTTTGGCTCCATTCGTCACCACTCGCCCTTTTCCGGCTTGTCCCGGGATAACACGAGTTGGTCACGAATGGTTTGGCTCGGAAAACGAAGGCCTATGAGGCATAACAAGGGCATTTTCAAACTTATTGTTGGTTTCCTACTTTCAATGTGAGAAAGTTATATTTTCTGAGCGAAAAAGAAAGACAGTTTTTCTGCGTGTACACTTCCCTTGAACTTGCCCTAGTATGTGACCAAATAGATTTGGTTGACGTGATGGATGTGTGTCATCATACCCGGCTTCATGGCTGACGATTGCTCACAATATCAATCAATGGTTTGTCTGGTCCAGACTTATTTATTTTCTTGCTGCCATCACATTGTTTGAATATTGGAGTGCAGTGTTAAACAACAAGCATTATACGTGTATCTCAGTGATAATTCAGTAAGCATATTCTGGTATGAGAAATTATGGGGTAGACTGCAGTATTTGGGTCCCCAAACCGGAACGAACGTTTTTACGTTTGCCTTCCTTGGTGTACTGATGAATCCGAGGACCGAAAACCTGGGAAAAGAATTTTTCCCAAAGTTTTATCTCCAACAGTAATTAGAACTCAACCTACATTTTTAACCAATCAGACGGTCGGATTTTCCTGACAAAATAGACACTAAATGATTAAGAACTCAAGGCTAAATGCCTCTACATGACACGCCCACACAGGCTTTCATTGGTCAAAGGAAAACGATAACAATGTTTTCATATGTTTATTGACATCCAACTCCACATGACTCGACTCCCGAACACGAATATGAGAAAAACAACAACTTAGGCCTGTTGATAATAAATGAACACAAAAAGTCATGTTTACTTTCTTTAAATGTCAATGGTTACCTTTTTCTCACCCTTGCAAATAACCACACTTTTAACACATTCGGGAATTGAGAGAACAATGCTAGAGGTATTTTCAACGGAGTTTTTAGCACTGCATGGAGATTCGACCATCGATTTTGTTTTGTCGAAACTCAGGGACGTGTCAGTTTCGTTGTTTTTGTTGTTTGGCTGCAAGTTTTCAGTAGGACACGGGGGACCGAGCTTGTTGCTGATATCTTGTAGGATACCAAACTTTTCACGTTGGTAAATTCTCACGGCGTTACTGCGATGTTTACTCCGGCTTGTAACGGCCTTGTCGGTAAATCCACTGTTTTACAATGTTGTACA